ATGCATCGATGTGGTAGTGATAAGCTCTTCCTTTGCGCAAAATGCGATCACCAAAACCAAAACGCCAATTCTACACGAGTGACATAGAAATTACGTTGGTTTTAGACAATTTCTTCATTTTCCCTGTCATCTCACGGTGGTGTTGTTAAACGAATATTATAACGATGTAACGTCAGCTGGAGATATCAGGGCATTACATATGCAAACTGCTCGACTTCTCTAGCCATGAACTTGTTAAGCCTAATACGTGGGCCTACGAAGGAAAAATATCATTTTTTTAAGAACTGAGAATCATTTAGCATTATCAGGAAGAAGGGATGGAAGGAGAGTCGCGGTGCAACTTACCGTACGCCCAAGAGCGAAGAGAGTTCGAGTGACTTGCGCAATGTCCTTCTTCTCGAAGAGGTCAACAGTCTGGAAGAGGTCACCCACTGGGACACCATAGCTCTTTATTGCCTCCAGAAAGGCGCTTATGTTTTCCATAATCTTAAAGGGCATTGTGGCGTTCTCATTGATCTTCTTAATGCAGCCCGGATTGATGGCATTCATGAGTCTATGGAAGTGGAAGCAATCTGTACATGTTACCTTTCCTTTTCCAACTTTTTGATTTAAGGTAATTTTAGGCTTAACCAAATTTTTTGCACCGAATTTGTACCATTGAATTGGGGGATGCATTCTTAACAGTTAATTGACAACCATTAGCTAATGGGATAAGGTTATGGCTGCCTGAGTCAAGCATTAGTTCATTAGTTTTGTCAAATGTTTAAAACACTTTTTTTATGTAAGGAAAGCATGCTACTAAAGGATTTCAGCAGCTTCTCTTTTTCGATTTAATTGATATCTGAATGGCAAAACCTAGCATACGGTACGAAGTTGTTAGTTAAAGGTGTTGTTGGGTAATTGCTTTCCTACATGATCACTCTTCTTGATGTGAGTGTTTGTTCACTATTACCATGATTTTTTGAAAGAATTAATAAGTGGCGTTCAGTAAATTAAAATAGATAATTGCTAGAAAATGAATTACCAAAACAGATCCAAAAATAAACCAAGGTTTACTATACATATAAACCCATTTTCAGTGGAGGCATTTAATTTAGGTCCGAGGGTTACTGTTCTCATTGGTTCTCTAAAACTTACTGGCAAAGTGACAAACGGAGACGGATATGATTACTTTCCCAAACTCCATTAACAGCAAGAAAGGAAATTAGCAACGAAGTGATGTGGAGCCGGACTTACTTGCACAACACGGTGCCATCCTTCAGTATGTCTTCGTAGAGCTTGGAGCGGTCCATCTTGAGTCCAGTAAGGGCTTCAATCCAGTCAAGAGCCTCATTTTCTTGATCCTTATCACGCTTGCCCTCGAGCTGATGAAGGATACGAATGTGAGTTACAAAAGTACTATGTCAGTTGCAGCAAATGGCAAATCATCTACCTTCTTTTTAACTTGATAGCTAAGACCACTGGGAGGCGGAACGTTAGACATGGCTTCGATTTGCACAACTGAAGGAAGATGGCCCAAGCTGTCTGTACGAGAGAAATGGGAGCCTGTGTCGGGTTGTCTTTGTCCAATCACAGGCGAGGTGTTCCTTTGCTGGCCAATAGGCTTGGAGAAAGCGGACATCGATTGGAAAGCAAAGTTGTTGGCAATTCGTAGCACACTCACTGATGGCCCACCTTTTGCGTAGTGAATGTGGGTGTATGCATGGACATATGCGTAGGCGGTTCAGTGGTTGAATCTGATAGATAATTCTGTCCGAATTCCTACCGGCGAAAAGAAATAAGTCAAAAGTGAAAACTAACTATCAAAACATTTGAACTGCATAGAAAGCAAAACTGTGTATTGCTCATTTGTTTCCGAACCCAAATTCTGAAGATTTTAGCAGAAATTAGGCAGCATTCACACTAAACCTTCTTTCGTGAAATTGATAGAATCAGTGCTGTTTGTCAATCACACTCATTGGCAAGAATACAAGTATGAGAAGCAAAACCAATGCATTGTGGCCAACTAAGTGATTTCAACCGAAATCCACATTCAAACAATCTACTTCCCACACGGAGATGGAGGCGTATCACTGAACAAAAAAACGCCACATCATTCAACCAATGCAATT